CTGTTCCTCCCTGGAAGTATTTACATCTGTTTTATGTGTTCTGTTGCAGATTGACTGCGTCGTGTGTAGTTACTGCTTCCGCTTCATTGGTTCTGTAGAGTTCCAGATTGGACATCGACTGTATTTTCAAAGCATTGCTTCAAGCATTGGCTGCAGCAGTGAGAGGCACTGTCATGGAAGTGATGTGGGATCAAGCACTTGCTCTTCTGGTGCAACAAAGGAAAAGAGTAGTACTTTGCCAGAAGAGGTCATAGAATCACTTATAACTGGCGATGTGTCACTGCCTTTCTCAGACCACTTCCCTTTACCAGAAATTGTTGCTTGTCAAGGATGCGAGGAAGAACGCTACTGCAGGTTTGAGCTCATGTTGCTGTGAATCTGACCTTTATTTTTTGAGGCATACATCTTTTGACTATTAAGTGTTTGGTATCCAATTTTTCATCATATTTTCTAACTGTCAATCATGTTAAAATTTGAACCTGATTGCATCATGTATAACTTGCATCTATAGGCCATATAACTCTGTTTTCATTGTTCATTGAGTAACTTGTTATTACAAGAAAGCATTTAAATCGTTATTGTTTTTGGATTTTTGAGAAAACGCTAACTTGTTCATTTCTGTGTAGCCAATCATGTGCAGATTCTGACTGGGAATCCTACCACTCTTTGCTCTGTGCTGGCCCCAACACTGAACCACCCCGAAGATCTGCTCTTCACAAATTTGTAGAGCATGCTAATGGTAAGCCTGCAGTGCCCCTTGAACCTGTATCATCATAGTGGTATGTTCATCATTCATTGCATCAATGCTATATCAATTCAGTCATGATCAATGATGGTTGCGATTGAGGTCCTGAAGCTGTTATCTGATAATACCTACTCTTTATTTTCAGAAACCAATGATATTTTCTTGGTTGCCGCCAAGGTATGTGATAGAAAATCTTTAATATGTTATGCATTGGAAGACCAGCATCTATTGCAAAGCTTTTGACGTCAAATTTGAGTTGATATAAATGCCATTAGTGTTTGTCTAAAAGAATATTCAAACTGCAATTTTCTCATATGAACCTTATTGCACAAGACAGTTGACTAGCTACATCAATTGTACCAGATATAGAACAAACAAAAGAATAAATGCACCCCCTTATGTACCAACTGCAACTTATCTAAGGTTTCCTGATTCTCATGCATATGAGTTCATACTTTTTATATGCCAGGCTATCACTTTCACCATGTTGAGGTACAAGAAACTCAAAAGACAGAACGACTTCCAAAACAAATCACCTGAATCAAACTTTTCTTTGCTTATGGAAGCCTGGAAACCACTTTCCATGGGCTTCAAAAAGAGGTAAGGGCATGACTTCAAAGTAATTACTTCTCTTCTGATGACCACTTGTTTTATACGGGATGACCAGTTGTTCTTAGTGGGACTAATTAGCAGTTTTGTCTAATTGCGCAACTACTGTTAAGCATGACTTTTGAAGGTTCTTTTCTCACGGTGTTAGCAATAATTTGATGGTAACAGTATTTGTAACAATCAATAAGATAAGAAACCTATGGCCGGATGTGTCATTTTTTTCTCCTTCGTTTTGGGTTACACTGGGATACCTATGGTTAGATGTGTCATTTCTTCTTCCTTGTTTTGGGTACACTGGTATATATGTTTTGAGCTCCATAGAACTACCGAATTAATGCTACTTTATAACCACCCTGATTTGTGCAAAAAATATCTTGTGATTGCAGATGGTGGGATTATGTTGCTTTGCCTGAGGATGTTGATGCTTCCGATGAAGATTCATTTAGGCAGGAAATAAGGGATCTAGCATTTACGGTAACTATGTCGACATATTACTTAAAAAACTATACATTGATGACACACAATAAGTGGACAAATTTATATTGAAAGATTCCATGTTTTACTGTCTAGATCTTATTTCAGCCAGTGGTAGGCTGATAATGGCTTCTGTATTTTGCAGTCACTACAGCTTCTCAAGGATGCGATCTTCGATGCTGAATGTGCACCATGTATCCTTTTTGGCAGTCACAAGACTTGTTTCAAACTTTCATACCATGAGTAGCTATCGTCGTCATTCAAGTTACCTTAACTTGCTCTAGTGTTTTCCCTTGAGGTGTATGGCCATATAATTGGCATGTTTGAGCTGAACAATCTGTAAGTAAATATATTTTCCCTATTTCATCTTGATGAATGTATATACTCTGTCATCGTTTTTCTCCCTGCCTGAAGCAAATGCCGGTGCTGCATTTGACCTAAATAATTGCTCCTCCAGTCATACTTCCACCTTTTTCATTCCAGTGATTTGGTCGTCGCATCGCCTGTTGAAGACTATTTCATACACATTGATGATCTTCCAGATGATAAGAAGGTTTGTTTGATGGTTGCCCTAATTCTTTCATGTAAGATGTTTACTCTTGCTCTTACATGGCTTTCTTAACCTGAAATGCAATGTACCCCAGGAGGAAGCTGAAAAGGCGACAGCGCCATTGCTAGATGCTTTAGATGATGACTATGCACTTCCTTGTGATGGTATATGCAACTTCTTCTTCTGAAGTCTCAAGTTACTCCTTTCAGAGTACTGCTATGTGCCTTTTTCTTCTGTCCAACACTAAGAAAAAGTGGTTTCCTTGCGAATTTTTTGCTGTCAGGGACGGCGTTCTTTCCTCTTCAAAGCTGTATGAACCACTCATGCTGTCCAAATGCTAAAGCATTTAAAAGGGATGAGGTGATGTATATTTTCCCCTTCAGCTGATTCACCCATTTTCCTACAAAGCTGCCAGTCAGCAATGCTGATAAGTAGCTGTTGAACTACCGCCGCAGGATAATGACGGTCACGCCGTGATAATCGCTCTGGGGCCTATCAGCAAGGGCGAAGAGGTAATGTCATTTCTAGTCCTGGTGCTAATCATTCAACGAGAGAAAAATCATATCTCTGGCCAAATTGTTGTGCCACCTGCTGACATTCTGTTGTGCCGCTGTAGATCACCATCTCCTACATCGACGAGGATCTTCCGTACGAGGAGCGGCAGGCGGAGCTCGCAGACTACGGGTTCACGTGTACCTGCTCCAAGTGCCAGGAGGAAAAGCCCAACTGAGCAGCAAGGCGGACTGGACTTGCTGCAAATTTTGGTCGTTGTTAGTCGTCGGCGGGCATTGTGCTTGTAGTTTATGCTACTGGGTACTTTTGACAAGTTCAAAATGTAAGGGTAAGATTATGCAGAGAGGATGAGGTTGTGACATTCTGACTTCAGTGGGCGCTAGATTAATTATGCTTTGTCCATGTCTGAAACTTCTACTGAAACTGTCAGAATATCTTACCTGCAGCTCTTGGCACTTGAGATTTTGGTAACAAAGACTCTGAACACTCGCATAATATAGCAGATACGAAACCGAGTTTGTGAATAGTTTAAGTTGTTTCTGTTTTCAAATACGTATTTTGCAGCAACATGACGATAGCCGTCCACGGTTAAAAATGGCATGCCTAGTATGGAGAATATTTGAGATGGAGAATGCTCGAGAGTTTGAGCGAATGCTTGGTTCTTCTTCTGAAATTGCTGTAATCTGCAATCCAGATCTCAGATTCTGGAATTGCTCTAATCTGCACCTACGTTCCTCATCCAACGTCGGGTTTCAGCACCAGCGGTGCTACATTATCATTTTAAGAAGTTAGTTGTCTACATGTTGAATGCCCACTGTAGCAGACACTTGCAGTTTGCAGGCTCCCTGCAATCCTGGTTAACCTCCCGGTGCAGCAGAATCGCGAGCAACCAAACCTGAAACAAAGTCTGGCATGTCAGGTCCAAATAGTGGAGAGCACGGCCGCATGATAGCGAAACTGCGCTATAAAGAGTGCGCGATGGAGTTGCAGAGTTAGGGCCTGCGCCAGGGAGAGGGAGTCGGACTGGAGAACTAACCGCGCCATCAATCGCAGCAAGGCACGCTTAAGGCCCTGTTTGGTTCAGCTTTCATCGACGGATTCCGTTGCCACGCAGTAGAATCTGAACCAAAGGGCGAACCCAGCAGAATCCGATTTCAGAAATCCGTTGTCAAAATCTGAACCAAAAGCGGAAGCAGTTCAAGACGTGCTTTCCAAAATCTGAAAAAGCTGTATCAACTGGTTTGCCAAATGACCTACATCTTTTTCACATCAGATTTTCCACAGTTATTTTTCCACAGCAGATTTTTCACAGCTGCTTTTAGAAATCCACAGCTAAACCAAACAGGGCCTAACACACACTAACCTTCCCCGCTCCAGCTGTAATGAACTCGCTGTATTTGAGCGCATGACATCAATGAGGGAACCGGTTTTTCTAGTTCTTCGTTTTTACCGGTTTTTGTTCAGTTTCGGTTGGTTTTTCTTTTTCCCTTTTATTTATTTTCTTTTTTTTCCTTTTATATTTCTTATTTTTTCTCTTTTTTCTTTTAAAATTTTATGAACTTTTTCCCAATTTCATAAAATTTTATGAAAATCACGAAATAAAATCATATTCGTGATTTTTAAAAAAATTGTGAACATTTATTAAATCCTTGAACTTTTTTCAATTCCATGATTTTTTCCCAAATTAGTGAAAAAAATTCAGATTCATGAACTAATTTTTCTCCGAACTCGTGAACTTTTCCAGAAGCGCGGTCTCTTCTCAAGTTCATGAACTTTTTCTGGAAAAGTCAGCGGTCAGCTACTAGTCAACTTGTCCAACCAAGCGAGCGAACGGGACAACTAGCGAGTGACCCAAGTATTCGCGTGTGTTGGGCCGGCCCACGCTTATGTTGGGTGATGTGAACACCGGCGGCAAACCGGCGGCAGAAGGCTCTGGAGACTTCTCCCATCTCCCATCTCTTTCAAAATTCAAAATTCGAATGACCACAACGGCACCATGTATATATAAACCCACCCTGTCTATCCCCAATTCTCCATCCACCATCTGATTCTGCCCCCTTTCTTCCTCCCACCGATCCTGAAGAGCTCGCACCGCCGGCGGAGAGAGCCATGAGGAGCGGCGGCGACGTCAAATCCTTCTTCCGGCAGCAGAAGGCCCACTCCGGCGCGGCGGCCGCCACCAAGCCCGCCGGCGGCGTCTCCAAGAAGGCGGCGCACCACCACCAGAAGCAAGCGGCGGCGGCGGCGCATCTCCTCCGCCCGATACGAGGTATGCCGCCGCATGCCCAATCCCACGCAGTCGCCGTCCGATCCCAGCGGATTGACTGATCGATCTATCGATCTGTTTTTCTTTTCTTTAATTCTTTGGCTGCAGCTGCGGCAGATCACCGCGACGGCGCTGACGCGGCGAGGAGGGAGGAGGAGGAGGACGCGGAGAGGACGGCCCGGGAGTTCGACATGGACACGCGCTACGGGCCCTGCCTCGGCCTCACCCGCGCCCAGCGCTGGCAACGCGCCGCCGCGCTCGGCCTCGCCCCGCCGCCGCACGCGCCCTGCTCCGACCACCAGCCGTACCTCTGGGAAGGCCGCGTCTAGAGCGTCGCATCGCCCTGCGGCCAAAGGCCCATCGAATCGAATCGTCGATCCGCGCCACCTCCTCGTGGTTCTACCAACTGCTTTCTTCGTGTTGTCTTCAGTCTTCCTCTGTACGTCTGTCTGCGTCTGGATCGATGCTGCTGCGTGCGTGTGATGGATGCCTTGTGATCCGGTGTGTTATTTTAAGCTTAATCTTTGCTGCATCCGGTGTGCTGAGCCAATCTACATCCCATTGCGATTCCATTTTATACATCGCCTGCACTTCTTGACTTGTGCTCTGTCATTGACTTCATGAGCGGTTCACAAAATTTTCCAATCTCAAATGCAAGCAGAGACGCAACATTTACAACCGTCTGGACTTGATACGGAGAAATTTACAACTGTCTGGACTTGATACTGAGAAAGACTCGACAGGCAACCGACCAATTCATTCTTATTTCACAGCAATAACACAAGTTGATCACAAGTACCACCACATGCTAATAGAAGAAGATGCTCGGAGGCCCAGCCACAGTTACTCCCAAGTACAAGTGCCATTTCAGCATTTCTCACTTGATTTACATTTTTATGATTCAGTACCAATCCAAAAAAAAAAACATGGACATGGAGTAGGATTTGACAGGAAACCAGCCATCTTTAGTCTAGCAGGCTGCCAGCATATTTAGTCATCTCAAATAACACAATGTTTACACATGTTCTTGTTCAATGGATGATCACAGGACATAAAGGATGCAAATAAACAGGTTCTGGTTCAGAAAGGCAGAAAGCCATAATAAGTTCACATCTGCTACGTATCATCTTGACAGTTAGTTGTTACATATCTAATGCTCAGTCGAGCAAGCAGAGACGCTTGCAGTCGCAGGCAGGCTCCCCGCAGCAACAGAACGTTTGCATGCATAATATTAATATATATAAGTATATGCTCAAAGATTTTCCATTTGGCAGCAATAAACAAGTTCATCATCACAAGTACCGCATGCTAACATTAGGAATCCATCGCAGTTACTTCCAAGTACCAGTGCCATTTTAGGATTCCTGACTTAATTAGCTTTTATAATCAGTAATAAACAAAAAAAACAATGGACATGCCTTAAGATTTGACAGGCAACCAGGCTCCTTTTATTTAGCAGGCCACCACAATCAAGCTCACACATGGTCCAACATATATTCATGCTAAATAATAACAAGATATAAGAGATGATGGTCACAAGACATAAAGGATAACACACCAGTACGTACGAGGGTCATTTCACACTGAAAAACACAGACAGGTTGCGGTTCATAAAGGGAGAAAGCCAAAACAAAAGTTCACAGCTAGTAATCGCGACAAAACGTATGCACAAGATAATCGAGTAGGCGCATTGCTGGACGCTCCAGATTTAAGCATCAATTAAGCTCCTGCAGGCCTGGCCATCAGCAAGTAACCTGTCAAATGACTAATGCATAAGCTTCCAACACAATTACAGAGGTGATACAACTTCTATAGAAAAACAAACAAGCAATGCACTCACCACTTCACTCCATGTGTCGGCATGCGTAAGAACAACTCCAGAGATCGCTAACGGTTCCTGCTACGACCTGCATGCATACAAGCGTCAAAGAGTTGGAGACAACAGCATAAGGAGGTAAATACTTTCAGACTCATAAGATGAGAAAATTTTTGTTTATCGGTCACAGACCTAGCGATGCAGTGTTAAGGAATTCTTCGTCTTCAGGGAACAGCTGCAGATTTTTTGATTTCAGAAGGTACTCGACAGCGGCAGCGTGGAAGTCCATCAAACTGCCGATTTTAATGAGCTCCGCGAGCAAAGGGACCTGATCTGCCTTCTCGAAGAGCAGCCCCTGGGATATCTCATCCGCAAAGTTCGTCGCAAACTCCAACTTCTCCTTCTAGCCTGGTGCACGCTTGCTTTTCTGCATGTAGAGTTTCGAGCTCTCCCTCTCCCACCGGAGCTTCCGTGTGGCCTTCACATCCAAAACGGCCCCAGAGGACAGCTTCACGTTGTATCCCACTGTGATTGGCTCACTGTTCTCTAGCACCGTCACATTGAGCAGGCAGGAAATATCTTGTGCCGCTCTTCAGCAGAAATGTCGAGAGCAGGATCGGCAAGAAAAGCAAGGACCAGTTTTATCATACCAACATTGATGACCTTACCCGAGCAGCTTTTGTTGGGCTGACATTTTCCGATGCGAGTGAATCATTCTTCCCAACAGCTTTGGATATTGCCTGGACTCCAATGCTATCGTAGATGTTGTTCAGCTTTGCTCGAGACATGGAAGGCAGGCTTGAAGATGGATACCATATGAACAATGACCGGTTAGGCAGCTTGTCGAACAAATCCTTGAGAAGTACTCCCTCCATTCCAAATTACTCGTTGCAGAAATGGATGTATCTAGAACTAAAATACATCTAGATACATCCATACCTACGACAAGTAATTCGGAACGGAGGGAGTAGATCATCAGGAATAAACACATCCTCTTTCTTCGACAGAAGGATAGTTCCGTCGGTACAAACTGGAACCTTGACACAAGCAGAAAGAAGCTTCTCCGTGTTTTTGCTCCAGTTCTTAGCAATGAACTGCCAGAAAGCAGAGCAGTCAGCTGCAGATAGCGCATCGACAGAGCTCTCCCATGTGCTCCATAGTTTGCAATGATCTTCAGCGCTAGGACCATTCCTCACACCAAAAACATGTGAAAAGAAGTCCAGCAACTTCTTGTCATAATATTTGTCCAAGACATGCAGCTGCAGGCTGAAAAGGTTGTCCTTATCATGAAGAACACAACCCAGAGGGCTCAACCACTCTCCACTTTTCTTTTTATTTGGTATCCAGATCCAATCACTAGTCTTGTTTGCAGGCTCCCAATTGTACTCCTTAAGGTACGTGTAAATACGAGAAATAGTAGCCCTGTTTTTGTGGCCTTTCAGATGTCGAGCAACAAGCTCATGTCCGTGTCTAACATCCACAGATACTCCGATTGCCGCAAGGGCGTCTCTGAATGAGGCTATCTCCGAGCCATAGAATGCTTCATCAATGAAAGGGCTATCTTCTATGCGAATGGAAGAATTCTTTGGATCAAACAGGATCGACTCATCAGGACATTGGAACCCCCCCACTTTTGTCCTCAACCAACTGCAGCCTTTGATTTTCTCTAGAAAGCCCTTTGGGAAGTTACTTGAAGAAGCCAACCAGCTCCGAATGGACCTGGGCAATGACAAGACAGTAGCTCCAGACAAGTGTAAAGGATCCTTGGGAATGTTGATGCCATTGATGACAAACCTAGCACCAGCTTTCACTTCAGTAGTAACACCTAAATTCTTGAGCTCATCTTTATAACCATGTATTTCTTTGCTTAAACCTTGGTGAGAGTCACCGTCATCTATGAAAGGTAGGTCTGCTACTGATGATAGAGACTGCCATTCTGCATTGAACAAGATTGCATCTTTGGGAGATCTGAAACCAAACGATGTACGCAACCACTTCTCATTCAGCATGCAACTGAAAAGCTCGACAGGGAGCGCGCCCTGTGTTTTCAGCTGCCCATAACAATGCTAGCAGGGCTAGGACACTCGCCTTTGGAAGTGATGAGTTCAGAACCATCTGCTTGAACAAGTGAGCTACAGCCTTTGATGCCGCCTCCAATTTTGCTATCAACCCGGTCTTCTCCAACTCTGCTTTGTAGGGACTAATCTTACTCCCATCAAATCTGAAATCAACTACAGGAACCCCATCAAAGACCTTTAGAAGGCACTCCCATCGAGGATCCACAAGAAAAGATTCATTAGGAGCACGGAACCCCACACTGGTCTTCACCCATTTTAAATCTTTGATCTTTCTTATGAAGGCATCGCATGAGTTCACATGCTGGATACATTTGAGGATTAGCACAGTAGCCTCAGGAGTAATAGCAGCCGAACTGAACTTGAAATTATCAATCACAAGTTTGTAGCTGTCTTTAAATTCAACAAGAACACCGAGCAAGTTGAGCTCTGGTTTGTAGGTAAGGATGTCGTCGCCATAGAACTTGACATCAAGGAACGGCTGGCTACTGATACAGGATGCAACTGCCCAGCCTGAATCATAGATGATACAACCAACTGGAGACCTGTAGCTGAGAGTACTCTTCATCCACTGTCCATCTTTGACACTGTTGATGAGTTCGCTTGGAGATAGAACTTTCTCTCGAAGAAACCGAATCAGCCGAAGGAGTGAGTACACATTCTCTCTGATCAGCGTATTGCTTGCAGCCATAGACATGAGGCGGCTGCCGATGTACGCTGATGCCTCCTGAAATTCAAATCTAACTCCGATCGCCTTGAGTTCCTCCCAGTACAAATGCAGCTTGTTTTGATAGAACTTTTGGTCAATCATCGGTATATCAACAAACGAGGAGCCACTTTGCAAAAGAACTCCCCACTCAGAACTGGACAGAAATGATTGATTTGGTGGCTTGTACCCAACTGATGTCCTAAGCCAACTTCCCTGTTTTACACAAGCCAGAAATTTAGCCGGTAATTGTACCTTCTTGACTTGAGACTCTGTATCCATTGCAAAAGCAAGATTGCATTGTCAACGGTTAGAGGCGATGAGACTGTAGGAAAGCTTGCATCTGGAGGGTGTATGAATGGAATGTCTGAAGCCAGCAATTGTGTCTTCAGGAAAACCAAGAGCTAGGTATGCACTTCTTCTCAGATGCAATGCACAATCTGTCACTCAGTTGAGTAGCTTTAGAAATGCTCCAGAAAGAGATAGCATTGTTCCGATCAACATACTTCAGCAGGGGAATAGACATCATTTTTGTACCGGAGAAACAGTTCTGCCAATTGTCGGCGACAAAGGATAAAACCTCAAGATAAATCTGTTCATTTACCTCCTTGACAAGATTAGAGCCCTCGATGCATTTGACGTACCACTCGGTGCTCACACTTTTAACACCAAGAAATGATAGCACGGTATTATACGTGGACTTGTCAAAATGAGAGCTGAGGATGTAGCTGCCATGAGTTGAGAGATTCTTCAGGTCAACTCCAGATTCCCATGCGGCCATGCCTTGCTGAGAATACTCCAAAAGGCCGGTTTCAGCCGTCCAACCTCACCAGGTTTGCAAAATATTTTCTGTGAACTATGAGACTCACATGGTACTATATCCTCGACAAGAATCTTGTTTTTGATGCCAGTCCTAACTGGCTCAAGTAGTGGGATTAGTGAATGATTGACCAGCAGGAAGTTAAACATAGAAGGCAAAGGACATTGCTGGTGCATCAGCGTAGACTTCACAAGTGCGACAAAAGCTTTCAGGAAAGCACTTTGGATGCAGTCCAGAATCCCCTTGTTCCATGGACTGTCAAACAGAATAGCCTCTCTTGAAGATGCAAGGAGGAAGTCGTCCTGGATTATGAAGGGAACTTCGTTACCATCTCAGTGGGAAGGAAAGCATAGACGCCAGGCGATATGCTTCCCACGGGATAGACACTCGCCATGTGGGAAGGTCAGGGTGATGACCCACTCATCAATCTCAGCACGTTTGTCCACTCTATTCTCCGGTTCCAGGAACTACTGCCTCTACATGTAGTAGCCACACTTCTTCTTTCCCGTCCTCTTGGGCTGATAAATGGACCGTGTAAGACTCTGCATGCATGTTGATGTTCTTCCTTGCTTGGTAGTTCTTTTCACTAGAGGAGACCAGGTGGCCTTGCAGGGCCGCCGTACAGAGGTATCAAACCCTCGCCCAGCTCATCCCTTCGCTGCTGGACATGAATTGCCATCAGGTCAGCCTGGTGCAGACGGTTCGCTACAAGAGCATCTGGAGTAAGCTGGTATTGCAGTACCATCATATTAGGGAAAGGGGGGTGAATGCCAGTTACAGCAAAAAGGTTATCTGGCAGGATTGTTCGCCGGCGGCACCTGTATGCACCTTTCACTTCATACTTCTTGCAGATGATTTCTTCATTATCAGAGCCTCTGTGTGCAGCATGATTCTTGCTCATGCCAGCAAAATATTCCCGCTTCATGGGATTATGATGATCAACTGAACCATAGTAAGGCCAGAACTGCTGCTGCTGAGCTCTGGGGCCAGAATGTGCCATCATTCCATTATACTCATCCATATCAACCAGCAGGGAATAACAGTCCACAGTAAATGCCTGATCATCGAGTAACACACCATGTGGGTTTCTGAAGATTTGCGGGTTGAGCATCATAGCACTGGTTTCTTCGTTATTTAACCACCGTCTCTCTTCAAACCCCTGAGTAGCTGAGAGACGCAGGTGCCTCCCTCTGTTGAACCCATGATACAGTGAACCAACTAACAGCAAATCATCGTAGGCAGCTGGATCCATAACTAGAGTTACACACAATGTAAAATAGCATCAGATTGAGAAGTGTGCAAAAATTCATTATCATAATAGCACATGCTCGATTCCGAGGTAAATAATAGTGTGTAACATTAAAATGAGAAAATATTGAGTAACTTGAAGACCAGAATACTCATTCATGATTTGCAACCTAAACAGACCATCATAGATTCAGCCTATAGGATCCAACCAACCATTATTTGAAACGACCAGGGAGTAGTCAGCTACCAAACAGAAGAGTGAATCATGCTAGCAAGTATATTGAACAATGCCCTAGAACTACCATTAGTAGTGGAAATAGAGCAAACAGTCCATGCTAAACAGAAGAACGGTGAATCAATTAGTAATCACAGTATCCAATTAAGCCATGAATTTACAATTGTAAGCAAGCCTTAAGCTAGATAGCATGTGACAGTATCTAGAACAACAGTTAGGAAACTAAGCTACAGTTGAAAATGGGGAGCATCCAGAGACCATATGGAATGGGCCATTTGACCATCTTTAGCATACTGTAATTAATTAGCTGAGCATCTTTAGCATCACAGCAACCTAAAGCCTACCTATGTACCACATTGATAGCCAACACAAGGATATCAGATATAACAACAGTAGATATTTGTAAGCCTTAACAGAATGTTTATAGAGATAATCTAGGACTAAACCATAGCAATTAAGTTACACTGAACTATGCCAACATATCAAAACAAAAATAGAAAATTTTGGCCAGATGACCACAACACAGAGCAACAACACAAAGGCCAGCAACAACCCAAAGTGAGAGAAGTGAGGGGAGGAGAAGATCCTTACTAAACATAAACTATGACTCTTGGATTGCTAAACTTCAGCCCTTCCCTATGACTCTTATTGCATTGCATGTAAAAGGATAAGAAAAGCAATGGTCGGATACCGTTGAAAACTTAAAACATACTTCACTTGTTAACTTCCTACCATATACATCTTGTAGTATAATATAGCAACTAACTTACAAAATAAACAAGTGTCCCAGCCTACTGTAAATCCTGTCTATACTAATTAAGGAATAACCCAGCATACACCCGACAAAGGGATGAACACATGAGGATGTCAAATAAATAAAGATGAGTAAATAACAAGCAAGAGCAAATAAGGGAGAGTGTTTTCCCTTATGAAGCAAACGGTAACAGCAGCAGTCAATAGCGCACGGAGCAGCAAGGTCATCACCAAACCGGAAGAAACAATCAAACAGAAAGTAAAAAACAGAGAAACGAAGCAAACTATATATACGAGTAGGTGTATTGTAGGAATAGCCAGCAGGTGTATCATTCGTTTCGTTGGTAGCCTCAACAACATACAGAGGCAATCAAGAAAACAAAATGAATCAGCAGGCTGCTAATACAACCATAGACAAAAGGAAGCAACAAATAAAAGGAAAGGAACATAACCAGGACTCCATGCACGAAGGAACAACAATCCTAGGCCGTACATGGGATTAAGACAAGGGACAAAAAAGCACATAGAAGACTTGAGTTTACAGGTTGGGAAACTACATCAGATGAAATTCTATGGATCTTTGTAAACTACAGTTCACGATAAGTATAGAGTGTACCCAACTTAGCAGTTTAGCACAAAACAGAAGAGAACACAGGAAAGAGCCAGAAATTATCATGTGAAGTAATATTCATTCATAAAAATCATATGTATGTCGATTATAAAGCTACTGAACTTTAAACATCTCTATGAATAAACAAAATGCATCGTAATGATCTACTCTTTTCTGCAATTTCTAATAAATATCAAACAGTCCAGAAATGAAGGGACGTTGATCTACTCCAGACATACAAACATCCTAATCCAACTAGAACAAATTATACTATCATTAGAAAATCTAGTAGCAAAATCACCACCATTGGGGTACTACTAGAGAACGAGATAATCTCGGCAGAGCTAAATGTCACGACGGCCTCAGATAATCTCTGCGCCGTTACTCTACTACTACTTCCTGAACCATCACCTGCTCCGACACCGCCGCGCTGCCGCAATCCCGTCGGCGCATGCCCGCGGGAGGAGAAGGCCACACGCCCGGCCGCCATGACGAGCCCACCACCTCCACCGGCCGATGGCCACGGCAGAGGCGGCCCAAGCCGCCCTCAGCCTGCGCCGCCGGTGAACAGAGGCGGGCCCCGCCACCGCCCAGCCCGTCGCGCCGCCGCGCCATCGGTGCGTCCGCGCACCGCGCCGCGGCGTCCCGGCCCAGAAGCTTCGGCCCGCGCCGAACCCGGAGACGAGGAGGTCCCGCCGGCCGGGCACCCTCTGGCGGCGGCGCACTAGGGTTCCTCCCCGTCGCCACGCGGGAGGAAGGAGGGGTTTTTTTCGGGAATTGGGTATTCCGTTCGGTATTTATGCGCCTCCGGCCAGCTACTATATAATAATACTACTACTGCATCTCCCTATTCAACGCGGATTTCTCACCCAAAAAAAATAGCTGATGACACGGCAAATCCAGACTTGTGCCAACAAAATTCATGGAAAACGTCGCGGATCCCTGATGTGCGCCTACGACACAACACCATGGAAATAGAGCTCAAGTTGCAAACGCCATGGAAACAGAGATCCAGCTTTAAACGTGGTAGAAACAGAGCAGAGGGAAGGGGGCTTGAGATTGAGAGCATTCCTTATTTAACACTCGCTTAAATTTTTATGCCCTATTTAACACCGTAAAATATTTTCTTCCTTATCTAACAACAATGCTAAAATTTGTTCCCTTTGTGACACTTCCGTCTATTTTGAATACTAACGGTGTTAAATGGTATATGAAAAGACGATCTTACCCCTAATGCAACTTGTGATCAAAATCATTCACATGGGGATCAATAACTTTTTCTGCTATTAATTGCAAAACTGGGCAGAACTTTCCTTGTAAACATGCAATTCTGGACAGTTTTTTATTTCGAAATTTAATTCAAAATTGTGCAGAACCTGTGACACAATTCATATGTATATTGTTCAACACACACCTTTCAAATTTGCCAATGGCATGAGGCACTCCATATACATCCAGACTCACATCCAAGTACACATATATGACTCACATATATCATGCGTATACATCATATTAGCAACCCAAAAGTGGCTCACATCATACCCAGGGTCACATACATTACTCCAAGTCCACACATACATCATATTAGCAACCCAAAAGTGGCTCACATCATACCCAGGTTCACATACATTACTCCAAGTCCACACATACATCATATTAGCAACCCAAAAGTGGCTCACATCATACCCAGGTTCACATACATTACTCCAAGTCCACACATACATCATATTAGCAACCCAAAAGTGGCTCACATCATACCCAGGTTCACATACATTACTCCAAGTCCACACAACATGACATGAGCAGCAACAAAAGTGACATTAAGTGAAAGAAATTAGATGGTGTTCACAAGCTGAGCCGCCTTTTGCTTCTTGTGCCCATTGCAGGGCTAGTTGGGTAAGCTCTTTTGCTTCTAGTGCCCATTGCAGGGCTGTCAAATGGAACCATCAGATTGTTTTGATCCTTTTTAGCAAGCTCCATCTTCCTTGTGGCCCTTAAAATAACAACATGGCTGTCAAATTATTGTAGTGCATGTATGACAACAATACATATGGATATATTTGATACATGTATGGCAGCAAACAACAATATCAACTATGCATAATATGTGATATTAAAATCCAGAAACAGAAAAGGTCACCTTTTCCCCCCTTTTGCATTTTTCTTGTTTGTAGTCTCCAATGTTTGGTTATGCTTTCCCTTCTTCTTGGTTGTAGTTTCCAAGTTTTGGCTATGGATTGCATGAATACATACAAATCAAACTCAGTTTTCGTTTGGCACAAATAAAAACTCAGTTATTATTTGGAACAAGCATTGGTGTAGAATAGGTAACCTTGGTGGAAAATACATAGCGGCTGTCGGCGCGTCATCACCTCTTGGCACAATGGATGACTCAGATGTTTTAGTAGTCTTCCTCCTCTTCTTTGGTGGTTCTCTACACGAGAAATGAGAAAGTAGTGAACATTCATAGGTGATTACAAAACAATAATGCAAGAAAGTAGTTAACATGCAATAGGAGAGTAGAATGGATAGTTGATTACCTCACAGCCATGAAAGCAGCAATGTCATCTTTGTTACCCTTCTTACACTTATGCCAATGGTGCCCGTATTCCTTGCAAATAGGGTACAAGTGCTGGCTACTTTTCCTCTTTTTCTCACCGCAACCCTTATGCCTCTCAGTTTGGGGCCGACCAGCTACAACTTTTAACAAGGGTGGATGCATGAAGAATCCATGGTTAGATTCAGGCCACTGGGTCTTGTCACACATAGCAGGGATTAGTTGGCCATAAGCTGCCCTAAACTTGTCAATGGAGTAATATGAGTCCACATAATTCTGTATATGTGCATTGACAAGTGATGTGATGAATGCTAGAGCATGCTTGCAAGGAAGTCCGGAAACTTGCCATTGTCTACAAGAACATGTGTTATCATGCAAGTTGACGACAAACCTAAACCCGTTGCCTCCCAATTGAGTAACTTCAGCAACTTCTTCCGAGCTTTCTACCACCTCCAAGTTTAACTCTCTACTCTTTGCATTCAACTTCTTCATTATGTGGGGCAAAATTAATAAGCTAGCTAACTTCTTTGCTACTTTTCTCCTTCGATTCCACATGATCATAATCATCTGCCTAAGCTTGTCCATTAAGTCATCCAAGTTCAAGGACTTGTGGTGCTTAATCCATTTATTGAAGCACTCTGCCAGGTTGTTGGTTACATAGTCCACCTTACAAATGGTTGAGAACTGACTCCTAGTCCACAACCTAGTGTGCCACTTCCTAAGATATGTAGTTGCCGCTGGCTTTGCTGTCTCCATTGCAACCCAATTTTTCTCAAATATATACTTGTTCCATGAGTAAGCAGCAACCCAAAGATGGTCATCAAATACCTTTCCGTGATACTTTTTCTTGAAGTTTGACACCAAGTGAAACATGCATTCCATATGTTCTACCTTTGGGAAAACTTCGTTTACCCCTGTCATCACCGCCTGCCCAGCATCAGTGCTTATGGCTAAACCCCTTGGCGATCCTATGGCTTGCCTAAGCAATTGCATGAACCAGATCCAGTTCTCATTTGTTTCGGAATCAAAAATTTCAAAACAAAGTGGATACATCCAATTATGGCCATCTACAGCAGTAGCACTGGCTAGCTGCCCCTTAAACCTGCCTGTTAAGAATGTGCTATCTACTGCCAAATACGGTCTGCAACCACTAAGGAATCCATCTATGCAAGGTTTCAAAGCAAAGAAGAACCTTCTAAACCTGATTTTTTTTCTTTTATGGTGTAATGATCAATCTGCACTATGCTACCAGGGCAAGAGATTTCAACTTGTGCTTTAAACCTATACAAATTGTCAAAGCTGCTATCCCAATCACCATATAGTTCTTTCAGAGCTAGCTTCTTACCCATATATACCCTCTTGTAGTGGATGTCAACCTTGTGGTGTTCTTTAATCTTTTTGCGCAATGCCTTCGCTCCGAGAGTAGCATCTTCAATCAGCCAATCCTTCACCTTATCACATATCCAAAACTTGGTTGCATTCTTCATCTTCCTTTTCCTTCTTGTACTAGAGCAATCATGACCACATGGGTTTTTCTTCACCTTAAAAAGAGAGATAGCGGTAATTAGCTAAAAACACTTGACAATTATGCAATAAATGTTCACAAATGAATAGAGTTAAACAATTACCATTACAGTACACTTATCCTCCGTCGTAGAAGCATGTATCCTCCATGGACAATTATCAGCATCTCGTCTTGAACAATAGCCCCTAAACCGATGAGGTGTACTATACTCGGTATTATACTCAAATTCATGTTTGATTGCATGCTGAGAAAGTGCCAACTTGAACTCTTTCATGCTGGGATATGTAAAGCCTTTTGTCATTGGATGGTCCAATTTGTCATACTCTACATGTGGAGTATGCTCTGCCTCATGGAACTCCTCATCCTCCTCTACTTCATCATCCTCTACTTCAGACTCCCCTACTTCATCGTCCTCTACTTCAGACTCCTCTACTTCAGACGCCTCTACTTCATCATCCTTCATCATCATTAGCAGAAATTAAGTGAAAAGATCTCTTCCTCAAATACACAGCTACACAAACTAGCACAATCTATGCATGATAATTGCTACTAGATGGACTGACCCTTACCCATCTGGACACGCCCATGTTGCTGGCGGCAACTGAGTACCTCCCTGGCCTGAAGCTGCTGCCAAGAACGACCCAGCCGTGCCCTCGCCGGAGACCCCAGCCACTGCCGCGCCCTGGCCCGAGCCAGCTGCAGCCGAGCCACCGGCCAGGCCCGAGCCAGCTGTAGCCGAGTCTCCGGCCTGGCCCGATGCTGGCTCAACCGCACCGCAGCCCGAGGCTAGCCCGACGCCCTGGATTGACCTGACCTCAGCCCCGCCGACGCCATCGGCAAGCACGTCCGCAGTCGCGCCATGACCGTCGTCCGCGGCGCCGTCTCCATCCGCAGAACTGCCGCCATCCATAGCCCTCCGCCGCCGCCGCTAGGTCTGGGAGGTTCGCCGCCGCTAGGTCTGGGAGGTTCGCCGCCGCCGCCGCCGCCGCCTCTAGGGTTGGGAAGAAAGGGGATGAGAAGAGTCGGGTCGGGAGAGAATAGAGAGACCGGTTTGGTCTCTGTTTTTCTTTTTCCTCAAAGGGGCAATTTCGTCCAACGAGAAAATACTGACATCAGTCGATCCAGATCTTAACGGCATATGCTAACGGACTTGACGGAAGTGTTAGAAAGGGAAAAAAAATTACACTTGGTGTTATTTAGGGAAGAAAATTTATTAGAGTGTTAAATAGGGAACCAATATTTAAAACAGTGTTATATAAGGAATTTTTCTCCTTGAGATTTCGACATGTCACTTGAAGTGCCAAACGAAGGTGCAATGCGGGCGCGACGGAGCTCTCGCCGGCAGATGAACTGCCCGAGAAGCGGGGGACAGCGCGATCACGCGAGGTGGCGTGGACTCAGCACTCAGCAGGCGCGGGCCGCCACCGGGAATGACGCCCGGCATACGCCAAAACGAGGTGGGGGCCGGAGCGGGAAGCAGGAGGCGCTCGCCGCCGCCGAGATGGATCCTCCGCGCACGTGTCGATGGCGTGCCGGGCTCGAGGGCTGGCTCTCTCCTCGCGATCGGTCCACGGCTAGGAGAGGAAGGAAGGATGACGCGGCTGCACTTCCCATTTGAAAGCGCATGTATATATAGTGATGACTGGTCCGGGCAGTAAAATTAAACTGGATCGGACGGCTCCTACTTTAGCGTGAAACCAACGCGGGCAGAATAATCACTATCTGACGGTCCAGAAAATGGATAATGGATAGTTAAAGCTACTCGTCCCGCTTAGTTTATACTAGCTTAGTACAGTAATAAGTGCATTAAACGGGAACTGCGTTGGCCATAAATTGATGCCATGCGCCGCCATCATTCCGTGCGTCGGGCTTCTCCTCCCGGTTCCCACGCTCACCTCGTGTGCCTCCGCAGTGAACGAGCTACCGGTCTAGCACGCTCCGTCATCCTGGACGGTGTACAAGGTCAGGCCGTCTAGGCCATTGCCCCTCACTCATGTACGGACTGCCATTGCAAACTTTTTTGCACATGAATTTTTTTGCTTTGAAATGGGCAAAAGACTTGCCACATTCGTTAATTAAGAGAGTTTAGAACAAGTTTGGCCGCCCGAGGGCGACAATCCGTACAAGGAAAGCCTACTCTCCCGGCATGAGATTATATAAATGAGTTGCACCCGCCAACCCCCAATTCTTTGCCTCGCACCGGATTTTGGCCATGATCACAATCTGACATAGTGAACTTGTTGTTGAAGACATTTGCGTTGCGCTCATTCCACACTCACAAGACACAAGCATTGCAATAGAAGCCATAGCCTTGCGACGGCCAAAGGCAACCATGGCAAACCACCAAGATTTTATGTCGTCAAAAACGTGCCATGCATTCGGGTATAGCCCTTCGAGTTGAAGCCAGTCGCGCACCATGCACCACACCCGAACGGAGAATCTGCATTGGAAGATGATGTCTGGTGCCGATTCCGGAACTTGGTTGCACAACAGACAGTTGCCACAATTTAGCCAACCCGTCGGCCATCGGAACTCGATTTGGACTTTTGAGTGATCAACCAGGCAAAAAACTTGCATTTTGACGGCGCCCAATTCGTCCAGATCATGCTATTGGAGCTAGCTGCAATGATGCCGCAAAACTGCGCCTTGTATGTCGATGCCGTCGAATATTTGCCTCGAGGTGGCGAGCTTCCAAGTGATGGTGTCATGTTGATCGTCCTGAAGATGCACTTGTGCCACCATAGCCCACGGCTTGATGAATTCCTGTATGTGGGCCACTGTTAGGCCATTTGAGGACCGAATTTGATCCACCCAAGCACCATTCTGGACCACCTTTCTTACACTCCACTTCTTACCTCTGGAAATGTCAAATATTAATGGTGCAATTTGCTTAGGCCTAAGGCCATTTAGCTAGGAGGACGCCCAGAAACTCGCCTTGTTCTCATCTCCTCCCGTGACCTTCGTGAGGGCGCGGAATAGATTCATGTCCTCCTTGTCGCGTGAGTTCTCGGTGCCCACCCAAGGCCGCTCTGGCGCGATCCACTCAAGCCATGGCCATCGAAGGCGGAAGGCACGAGCAAACTTTGCCAGGTGTAGGATACCAAGGCCTCCCGAGGATCATGGGGCAGCAAACGGAAGTCCAGTTAACTTTGCATTTTCCTCGGAGACCTTGTCGGATCTCGCCCAAAGGAAAGCTCTTCGGATCTTGTCAATGGCTTGGAGAACCTCAACTGGAATGACTAGCGTCATGCTATGGTAAACCATGATGGCGGTGGGGATTGACTTGACCAATGTGTTCCTACCCGCAGTCGTGTAGTGTTTCCCCTGCCAAGATGGTGTTTTGCCGGCGACTTGGTCCTCGAGGTGTTGGAAGTGGATCCGCTTTAAGCGCCTAACTGATAGGGAAAGCCCTAGGTAGCGCAAGGGAAACGCCCACTGTTGGGGAACGTAGTAATTTCAAAAAAATTCCTACGCACACGCAAGATCATGGTGATGCATAGCAACGAGAGGGGAGAGTGTTGTCTACGTACCCTTGTAGACCGGCAACGGAAGCGTTGACACAACATAGAGGAAGTAGTCGTACGTCTTCCCGATCCGACCGATCCAAGTACCGAACGAACGGCACCTCCGAGTTCTGCACACGTTCAACTCGGTGATGTCCCTCGAGCTCCGATCTAGCAAAGTGTTGAGGGAGAGTTTCGTCAGCACGACGGCGTGATGACGGTGATGATGTTCTACCGACGCAGGGCTTCTCCTAAGCACCGCTACGATATGACCGAGGTGGAATATGGTGGAAGGGGGCATCGCACACGGCTAAGGAACGATCACGAAGATCAACTTGTGTGTCATGGGGTGCCCCCTTGCCCCCGTATATAAAGGAGGGAGAGGGGGAGGTGCGGCCGGCCCAAGGGGTGCGCCTGGAGGAGTCCTACTCCCACCGGGAGTAGGACTCCCCCTCTTGCCTTGTTGGAAAAGGAAGGGGGAAGGGAGAAAGAGGAAAGGCCCCCCCTTCCTTCACTGGTAGAAAAAGGGCCTGTTGTCCCGGTTTGTAAGGGCCTTTTGTCCCGGTTCCTGAACCAGGACTAAAGGGTCGGTACTAATGCCTCCCCCCTTTAGTCCCGGTTCAATCCAGAACCGGGACTGATGGGCCTCCACGTGGCCTGTGCGCGGAGCCCAGGCAGGAGACCCTTTGGTCCCGGTTGGTGGCACCAACCAGGACCAATAGGCATCCACGCGTCAGCATTTCTGTGGCTGGGGTTTTGTTTTTTTTGAAGGGGGGTTTGGGGGTTTGGGGGTTTGGGGGGTTAATTTAGGTGTTTCATATATTGTGTTAGCTAGCTATAATTAATAGAGAGAAGTGTCCTCTCTTATGTCCGTGCTTGGTCGACGTTACGTACTATACATACGTATAGAGAGGACTAGACACGCTAGCTAGCTAGTAAGCAAACGAAGGAAACAGAAGATCGTCATGAACATATATGCATACAGAGAGAAGTGATATCGACCACCTCTCCTTCTCCGAGAGATT